ATTCCAGTCTCTAAATGAGCACCTTTTTAATTTAGATGATATAATTAGTCACTTATTCTATTTATAATTTATTTTATTCAATTTTCCCCTTTTATTTCCTTATTCGAATTTATTAACTTAATTTATTAGTTATTCGAATTTATTTGATTAATCACTTTTTATTAATCAAATTACCTTATTAATTCCGCCATTAATTACAATATTTGAATTCTAATAAAATATCCGACTATAATTAACCACAACATCCAATTTTTATTCAATAATCACCATTAATTTACTCTACTCATAAATTATTATCTAATTACTTTATTTATATTAACCCATTAATTTATGAATTCAAATATTTTAAATATTTATATGAAGTCCGAATATCTATTAATAAATCATAAAAATTATTAATTGAATTAGTCCACTAATTACATAACTAAGTTATTTATTAAGTCTACACATAGTCAATTATTTATGTTAGCTAATCCAACCTTATTTTATTTTCCTTATTTTATTCCAACATCATTTTTAGTCCAGAATATTATTTTTCAATCTCAGTGATTTATTTATTTCACCATTAATATTAATATTTCCTTATTTAATTACTTAACTAGTTTTATATGGCCCAATTAAATTAAATAGACTAAGAATCGACTTTATAAATTAAAAACCGTCTATAACTATATTTTGGGTCTATATTTAACCTAGGTTCTCCAGATATGTATTTTATAATTATTTTCCATAATTATTCCTTTAATTTCATATATTTAATAACCGGTTCAATTACAATTAAATATACTAAATCTTTATTTTTATTAATTATAAATGGTCCATAAGGTTCTAGTTAGTCATATATTTATCCTAGTTTACTCCAATATTTATTTCATAATTATTTTCGTTATTTAGTTAATTATTTACTAAATGTGTATAAATTGGCCCAATTACAATTAAATCAATTAAAAATAGCTAAAAATATTATATTTCAATTCTGGTTGGTCCGAATATGTATATTTATACTAGGTATTTAATTTATATTTTTCCAGATTTTATTTATTTGATTTACTATTTTATTTTTAATTTTTATTAAAACTGGGCCGAATTGGCCCATTAAACCGACCCGGCCCAAGAGTTCTGACCCAGACAACTGGGTCATCTTCTCCAGGTCGATTCCGGCGACTTCGCCGGAAACTAGAAAACTCCGGCGAGCTATAACTTGACTTACAGATAACGGATTTCGACGATTCAAGTTGCAAAATGATCCTTGCGGCGAGACGAAGCTCCTCCACCCCTATATACGGCAAAATATCTGCTTTTTATAAAGACCCGCTTCCACAACTTGCAACTCCGGCGAGCGATATCTCTCTCGTTTCACGACCGTTTTCAACGATTCTTTTTCCGTTGGATTCGTATCACGAAGGGGAAAGTTTTTATAGTATTTTTACGGCTCTGTTTTGGCTAAAACGAAGTGTTGCGTTTTTCATATACATATATACGTATATGTATATATATGTGTGTGAGTGTCGAACTCTGGTTGGGAATGGAAGAATTCTCAGGTCTGAGGGTGATATTTATGGGTGTAGGTCGAGGGTTTTAGGCTGAGATGTTAGAGTTTGAGTTGGAGTTAATTTCGTTTGGCTTTGTACGTAGGACTCTCGCCGGTCAGTTTGGATAATACTGAAGGAGTCCTAGTTGTTTAAGAATCTGAATTCGGCTCTAAATGTGTTCTGATTCAAGTTGCAGCTTCAATCGTTTGTGGTTTGCACGTAGAAGTAAAAAAATATTTTCTTTTTCTTTTTGCACTTGTAGTTTACGTAGGTTTAGGTTTTTACTTTGTTACGGAGGAGTATTATACGTATTATAGTGGTTTAATACAATTCTTATTCTTTGCATAGTATGTACGAATTATTCTTCTTCTTTTTTTTTATAATTTTACTCTTATTATTATTGCGTTAGTGTTTTTGACTTATTAGGAGTATTTTAAAATAAACTTATTTTGTACTTTGTGTATTTTATATACAACTTAAAATGGTTATAAAACAACTTTTATTACTTATATCCTTTGTATAACTGGTATTTCATTAATATAAAAACGTTATTTCTTTTATCGGGCCATTTTTATCTGACTAAAAAGTCGTAAACTTGGAAATTTTTATCTGATTCGAATGTCACATCTGTTGAATTTTTGTTTTGACTCACTTAATAATAAAAATGTTATTTTCGAAATATTTTATCTGACTAATAAAAATTATTTTTATTTTTATTTAAATTTTTGAAGTGTCACACGCACGTCTCGAAGGACTTTGTCAGGAAACAGCAGTTAAGCTCATGGGGATGAACGTCCCCTGAAGACCCAAGACAACAGGATACCCTTCCCCATCATCCAGGGGACGTACGTATCCTAGCGTACAATGTGCCTTGGCCCAGGAGCAGCATTAGATGTACGTCTCGAAGGACTTTGCTTAGCAGGAGGCCCATGGGGACGAACGTCCCCTGAAGGCCCAGGATAACGGGTACCCTTCCTCATCCAAGGGACGTACGTATCCTAGCGAGTCTAACAGAAAACCTGAGGCAAACTCATGGGGACGAACGTCCCCACCCCTTGGCGGACAGCCAAGATCATGACGGGATTCTGCATTTAATACAAGATATTTGGTGGTTGCGCATTTAATGCAGAAGATATGATGGTCGGGACGAACATGCCCAACCCTTGACGTGAAGCCAAGATCCTGGGGGTCACGCATTTAATGCAGAATATTTGGTAGTCGGGATCAAATCATCCACAACTGGGTTCAATGCATCTAGCCACCCATTGACGATATAAAAGAGAGCATTTAATTCATTGTAACGTATCAGAACTTAGCACTCTAGTCTGATAGCATTCATAGCAGCTCGTAACATAGCATTGGGACGAACGGCTTCACGCCACAAAAATATATTGAGACTTCCTATTGGGTCACATCTTACTTGTTTGATCTTACTCTTTTAAAATACTCACTCGAAACCCTTAGTTTGTGTGTTGGGCCTACGGGTTGAAGGGAATAAACCCATATATATATATATATAAACCCATATATATATATATATATATATATATATATATATATATATATATATATATATATATATATATATATATATATATATATATATATATTGAAACTACTACTATATAGGGTGCGGTTCCGGTGAGAACACTCCTTAACGTGAGAAATGAGAACGCTCCAAAACGATGCACTTTATCTTTCACAAAACTGCACATTTATAGTTAAAGTAATGCAAAATTCTAATCTGCACATTTACGTTTAAAATTTTGCACAAACGAAATGCACATTTTCCATTTTTTTATATGCATGTTTCTGTTTTACATGATGCACAATGCTCAAATCCAACGCTCCAAAATCATTCTCATTTCTCTCCTAAGATGGTATTCTCATTTGATCCTTACCCCTACTATATATATATATATATATATATATATATATATATATATATATATATATATATATATATATATATATATATATATATATATATATATATATATATATATATATGGAAGAGATCAAATAAAAAGAGGTTCTCCCGTGCAAAGTGCGAACGGTTGCACTTTTTCCTCACCGCATTGCACTTTTGCGTGTTTCTGTTGCACTTTTTCGCGGTGGTGAAAAACTTCATTTTAATTACGAAATTGTCACCGCGTTTTTGATCAATTTAGTTCATTTTTGGCTCATTTTGAGCCATTAGATCTGGAAATGAATGCACGAGATTAATTCTCACTTTGCATGGGAAGACCTATTTATATATAGGGAGCGGATCAGGTGAGAAGTTCTCTTAGGCTGAGAACTGCGAAGTTTAACTAATAGACTAAAAACACAAACTTTTAACCAATAAATCATAACTTATAGACCCCGTTGAAAATAATTATGAAAATGCCACCGCAAAAAATAAGGCTGGAAACCTTGAAATTTTTGTACGCGGTGGCATTTTCGTAATTATGATGGAGAGCTTTATAAGTTATGATTTATTGGTTATAAGTCCATATATTCAGTAGTCTATAAATTTACTGCGTTGCAAGATCACATGCAAATCCAATGGCTGAGATTACTTCTCACTTCTCATTTTAAGGAGCACTTCTCACCTGATTATATATATATATATATATATATATATATATATATACACACACATATAGGGGATGGTTCAAATACAAAGAGGTCTTCCCATGCAAAGTGAGAATTAATCTCGTGCGTTCATTTCGATATCTAATGGTTCAAAATGAGCCAAAAGTGAACTAAATTTGATCAAAAACGCGGGTGGCAATTTCGTAATTAAAACGAAGTTTTTTGCCATCGCGAAAAAGTGTAACAGAAACACGCCAAAGTGCAACGCGGTGCTGAACAAGTGCAATTGTTTGCACTTTGCACGGGAGAACCTCTTTGTATTCGATCTCTTCCCTATATATATATATATATATATATTGGTGTATATGACATATGTTGCCACTTATTCAACAAGTCAGGAAGTTCAAAGTCAATAGGATATCCAATTGGAGTCATCAACTTTTGAATATGTGCTAGATACCATCATTAACAACACACGGACAACAAGACGGAAAAAGAACCCGTAATATGTAAAGGAGGCATTCATTAGGAAGAATCGGGTCTTTTTTAAATCATCATCATCGTCATATTACCCAGTGCAGCAAAGATTCTCATACCTTCAGTGAAGTGGGGGGTTCGGATGTACACAGTCTTACATCTGTACTAAAGTATAGAGAGATCGTTTCCGAATGACCCATAGTGAAAATCGCGTTGAAAATTGTCTGTTGCTTCATAACAAAGAAGCGCATACGGTATATTAAATTATTTTACTTTATTCCATCATATTTCTAAGCCAAAAAATAGTGAGTCTTTGATTCTATTGGAAATGGTGGAAGAATCCGGTCTTTTTTAAATGTGTGAACAAAATCTGGATGAATGTGTACCCAAGAAAAGTACAGAATCAAATGAGCATAATTCTTGAAAAAAAACGGGAGTTGTATGAATAGACCCACCCACCTCATCAGTCATTACTATTGCACAATCAAAAGAGACATTCCGGGTGGTGGCATGAGCTTCAGACGTGCGCCCTTCTCCTCAATGGTTCCGCAGCATTCCTTCTTCCAATCAAACCCGGGCCGACCCGTATCACGATTCTCACCTTTCTCGAATCAGCGCAGCTACATTTCTTTCTCTTCTGTTGTCTCTTGCTCGCTGAAGCCTCAAACGCCGATGTATCTGAGGCCAGCAACTTTCCGGGCCGAGCTGTCAGAGCTGAAAAGATGGCACCTTTGGGCCGAAGCCCTAGCTTCCTCGGTCGGCTCTTCGTTCTTGGTCCAGGACAACGGCCCAGACTCCACACTCTTGCACAGAGAGCTCAACTGGCTGATAGAAGACGCGGTTGAGACACCCGAAGCACTGTCACCCAATTACCACGCTGATGACACTGCGGTGTCACTAAGGGCGTGTCTGGATGATCTTTATTCTCTCTGGAAGCAGAGGATAGAAGTGAGAAGGCCATTCCAGTACTTGGTTGGGTGTGAACACTGGAGAGACTTGGTATTGGGCGTTCAAGAAGGTGTGCTGATACCCAGACCAGAGACTGAGCTGATTGTGGATTTAGTGAGCGATGCGTTCGAGAAAGATGATCAATTGAGAAATGGGGTCTGGGCTGATTTGGGTACTGGAAGTGGTGCTCTTGCTATTGGGCTTGCTCGGGTTTTGAGCCCGTCTGCATTGGTCGTAGCCGTTGATTTGAGCCCAGTTGCTGTTGCAGTCGCCTCTGCCAATGTGCAGAGGTACAACTTGCAGGTTCTTGCTAATGTTTATTCAGATCAAACAAGCTAGAGACGTTTGTTTGTTTATATACTCTTATATGTGGACATGGTATTGACGATTGATATGTGTTTCAGAGTAAAGTGAAAGTAAAACAGGGGTCTTGGTTTGAGCCACTCAAGGATGAAGGAAGAGGATTGGACGGGGTTGTAAGCAACCCACCATATATTGCAAGCCAACAAGTTGCTGGTTTACAGTCTGAAGTTGCCAAACATGAACCAAAGCTTGCCTTGGATGGTGGATCAGATGGTTTAGATTGTCTCCTGCACCTTTGCAAGGGAGCTGCCTCAGTGTTGAAACCGGGCGGTTTCTTTGCATTTGAGGTGGAGGAACATATATACATATATTCTATTATATCTATTATTATTACAAAGTTTCATTCTTATTATCACTACTATACTAGTACATAGTGGGCTCACCCTTTTTATTCGTATGCAACAGACGAACGGGGAGGAACAGAGTAAATTTCTTGGTCAGTACTTGGAAAGAGTACACAAAGGTGCCTTCTCGGATGTGAAGATTGTGCCTGATTTTAGGGGTATCCACAGATTCATCACTGGTTTTCGCACTGAATGAAATGATTTCTTTTTCTTACAAGGCAAAGTTGTACGTTGATAACAAAAAAACAAATATTTGATTTATGTGCAGCATCAGTGTAATTTTCACCATTTGGAAACAATTATTATTTTTATCATTGAATAATCCAAGAATAGTACAAGGTTGGCACCGGTGGTGGTGGGATGATAAGAGATTACTCTTTTCATTTTAACCCCCAAAATTCTGCAGCAAAAGAAATGCTGCCAGAAAACTCTAAATTGTTTATGTACAAATGAACAAGAAAGAAAAAAGTAGTTATACTTCACATTCAGTCCTCTGTAATCTCCTTTTTTAGGTGGGGGTTCTCGAGGAAGTATGAATATGTTCTTTCTTCCCGAGCAAGTGTGTAATGTTTTCAAGAGAAACGGCGCCATTGCTTCTTCCCTTTCATCTGATTCAGCTTGAAGGGGCTCCAAGTCTTCCTACGCTTGGGGGTCTCAGTGAAGATCCCAGAAGCTAAAGCTTGCTGCAGCCACAACTCAAACTCTTCATCTTCATCAGTCATCTCACTATCTACATCCCATGGATACCTACTGCTACCTGAATGGGATCTGTGACTTGATTTCTCCAACCCTACCATGTTCACATGGAAGCTTGGTCTGTGTGTATTTGGTCTGCAAGACATCCCCTGCAGTTTTTTAAAGAAAAAATAAGACATTAATTTAACATAATAAAGTACGAAGTACAATTTACCAATTTGTTTAAAATTAGATCACTACTACGGCTGTATAGACCTGACATATTGCCCATTCTGACACATCAAATATCTTGTTCTCTGCACAAACAAATGCCCGGGGTATCTCCATCTGCAATGGCAATGAATTAGCAGGAATTCTTTGATGGTATAATTTCTTTTTGCCTGACTATTTCCCCATGAATAAAAAACATCAAAAAGAATATACCTTCTGAGGCCGATCAAAGCCCAATGACCCTCTATATTCTACCCATCCATCTCCATCTTTGGCTTGATGATACTGACAGCAATCCTGCACCCACATAGTTTTGAAGGACGTATGGGTGACTTATTGGAAAACAACAAGTGATTTATAGAGGAGGAAAAGTGTGTTTTCTACAACAAAGAAGGGTTTCTTCCTTTGCACATAATAAATCATGCATATAAAATGTGAGATGAGAGGAAACTGAACCTGGCACCACCTAGCTTTAGCCTTTGTCCTGTTGGTGCAAACCCAAATGTGTGAATTGCAACATTTTGTGCACTTTATACGCCTAGATTCTTTGGAACAGTAATCAGACGTGGTCTCCTGCACCATAATTATAAATAACCTTTAAATAAATAAACTTAAAGAAAGCGGGCCTTCATGGAGTAGACAGTGGAAAAGTACCAACCTGATGGGAAGATCCTGCTGATCTATTATGTAAGACAGACTTGGACTCCTCTTTCCTGAGATGCTCATCATAGTCCCTCTTCTTTACAGCATCAGAAAGAACCTGAACGTAATTAATAACGAACACCCATGTAACAATCCAATTGCATGCAAAGTAATCAAGGAAAAAACATTGGCAATGTGAAGAATGAAAATAATAAAAAGGGGTTTTGAAATAGTTACCTCATAGGCCGACTGAAGTTTCTTGAATGACTCGCTTGACATCGGGCTTCCCATGTTTTTATCAGGGTGCACAATCATGGCCTAAGCATATGAATAGCACCCGGATAATCAAATAAGCACACCAGTGCTACAAACATAGCGCGGAAAGTTTCTCTAGGAGTAAAAATGAACAAAGAAAATATTGTCTGACCAAGTACAATCAGGTTCCCCCTAACTGACCAAGTAAGTACAATGAGGTTCCCCTAACTGTTAAATACTACTCCCACCATTCCAACAAAAATCTTTGTTTCACACTTTCACCGAGGCACAGGCCTTTTAAAATTTAGTAAATTGCAAATATTGGAGACCATCATTTCAAGCTATGACTAAACATGACTTGTTTGGGTCACTTTTAATTGGTGCATAAACAAATCAATAAATATAATGACTTGTGCTCAAATGAGACTTGGGGGGGGGGGGGGGGGGGGGGGGATAAGCTTCCAAAGAGAGGTTCTTTTTTATTTTGAGCGGCAGAGGAAGTAATGATGTATACAAGAATGAAAGCTGAATAGATGGACTGAGCACGCATTTTTGATGAAATCACCTATATCTTCCAAATTTGTGGTCTCACCAAAATTACACTATTGCTTTCTCTGAAATGGGAGTGGGAATGGTAATGGAGATCCTTTATTTTTTAAGACAATAAAAGGAGGTAAATACCTTTTTGCGATACTCCTTTTTCAAAAGGAGACTATCAATTTTCTTGTGGCGAGAAAATCCAATTGCTTCATAGTGATCAACACTATTTATAATCCGCTTCATCTCAGCCACTGAATTTAAGTCTTCTCTTGAAACTTCCTTGGCTAAAGGCTCCTGTTTATCCATAACAGTAGTAGTGATAACAGCAGGTTTGCTGAATGATTTGCAAGAGTGAAGCTTTTCAGTTTCATCACTTGGAGGAGCAGAAGAAGATTCATATGCAGTACAAAACCCTTCCTCCTCTGCGAACGAAGAATCAGGTTCTACTTGCTGCTGCTGCTCCTCATAATGACTGCTTTCACGCAAGATGTCATACCGATGAAGCAGGTAGTTTAGGATTCCATTTGAGAGGAATGAAAGGTTAATTGAGATAAAAACTCCATGCCACCCGACTCGAGTTTTAACAGAATAAATAGAATATATAACTGCCATCAGCACCAGTAGTCTTGCATGGTTTAAAGAAAACAGATAACCTGTACAAAGAGGATCTTTAATGAAGAAAATGCTGCAAAACTAACATAGCAATATATAGCAACTTGGTGTATTAATATCAAAAGGGAGATAATGGAAGAAGAGAACCATACCTCCCACAAAAAAGAGTGCACCCGTTATCCAAAAGTTGGCATACATCCACAAAATTAAAATGGAAAACAGGCCAACAATAAAAAGTCCAGAAGTATATCCTAAATACTGAATAGCAGCCCCGGCAGCTCCCTGAAAAGCATGCCTCCCAAAAATGGTCAACTTATCATACCAATATATCAACTCATCTTAAAATCAACAGATTTTATCCAAGATCCTCATTTATATCCTTTTGGACAGAATCAGTTCATTCAGTATTATTATTACATTTGACACAAGAAACAGAAATAGATAGTGCATTGGTTCTGTAGATGCAGATCTTACCGCTCTTTTTTGTTTTAAGATAAATATAAAAACAGATAATATAGCACAGGCCAAAGAAATAACAGCATACCATACTAAGAAGCACATATAGCAGGCACGACAGTGAAGTTAAACTCATAAAGGAACTCCACATAATCACAATTAAAGCAGCAGATCCAAGCCCAGCAAATGACCGAAATCCCTGATTAATACAATCCTTCCAGCATCTTAACAAAAACAAAAGATCCTTTCCCAGTTTCACGCAAAAGTAACAAACCATTGGCCAATGTTTTTCTATGAAGATGACAACTTTGTCCCTTAAGCAGCTCATTGTTTTCCTCACAAGAGAGTACCAATCCTTCTTAGATTGTAACCACATCCATGCTTGCTTGAACAAACCTATATCCTCCATCATAAATAAGCTACTAAACTCAACTGGAATCACTTCAATCTTCAAATTGTGCAAAACAACAAATCAATATATCTACTTATAGGCCATCCATATCAATAGCTGTTGATCCATGAAAACTCTATATCTCCATTGTTGAGAGCTGTTAGGGCAAAGAAAACTCATACTACCACTCATATAGTCATATAACCAACCCTCCAGTACCCCCAAAATGCCCCTTATTTGAGCAAGAATTACTGAAACAAAACTCGCATTTCCTTAACTGCAAATGGCAGAACCCTGCGAGAAGGAGATCCGGAAGATCCCATTTTCATGGGGTTAAAGTTGCAGCATTAATTGAGCCCAGCAGCGTACTACACAGAGACAAAGGTATATAACTTGCTTCACCAATACGTCTCTCGAAAAGCACTACAAAAATCACAAGTTCTCTGCTTTAGCCAAGACTACATCTTGAGCTACCACAAGCCGCACAAGCCCAACCAACCCATAACCCTCAAATTTAAGATATAAGATTATGAATACGCACAAGTGTAAAGATGAAACAATTCTTCCCAATCTTGTGAACTTTTTGACCCGTGATCTTTTTCTTTTTCTTTGGCTCAGAAGAAACCCTAAGCCAGGCTTTTCCCCCCAGGGGAGGCCAGTAGCAATGCGAGTGACCCGAGGTTAAAAGTTTCCTAAAGGGGAAAAAGGAATAATCTTGGGGAGGATGGTTATTGATGAGCTTCCAGAACACAAGTAATCCACAATTTTATAGTGATACAATACGGATTACGATTTTATGGAGTCAAAATGGAGTTAAATTGGTATTACTATCATGACCACCACTAATTTTAAAACGTGCAACACTCTCGAGCAAGTTCTATATTAGCTCACAACCCTTAAAATTTTGTCAAGTTTAACTGGTATGAAAATTAATAAAGTAAAATGTATGTGATTAAGGTTTGTGTGGATCAAAGATAATTAACTCGAAGCACAAATTTTTTACTTAGAATGGAAAGTGGCAAAGTAAGTGAGAGACATAAAAAAAAGTTGACAAAGTTTTAAAGGACGAAGGGAGTAAGTCCTACGCAGTATCTCTAAGGTGAATTCCTCAAATAGGAATAAAATATAGGCAAAATGCAAATATAGAAGTATCATGTTTTGAATAAGAGGAACTTTAGTGTTTGGACAAATAAACCCCTTCCCAATCCCCAAGCATCAACCGCTTTCATTAATAATTAAAGCATAAAAGAAATAACATTAATTAATTTATAATAAAATTGTAAAAAAATTAAAACACGAAAATATATAATAAATAAAATATATTACGTATTAAATATAATTAATAAAAAGTATAAGTTATTGAAATAAAAAAATATATTAAATAAAAAACTAAAAATGAAAAATATATATATAAAAAAATTGCAAGCCTCAATCGCAACCTCAACAACCTCCCAGCACCACCAGCTCCAACCACCGGGAAAATGCCAACATTTATTAAAAATGCTATCATGATGACAATTTTCGAGAAAATTTGGCATTTTCAAAGAGTATAAATGTCATCTTTATAGCATTTTCAAAGAAAAATGGCAGCTTTACATAAAATTGCATTTTTTTCGCTGATTGGATGTGGCATTGTTAGGTAGTGGCCGAGGCTGCGAGAAATACCTCCATAATTTTTTTAATTTTTTTAATGTATTTTATTTATTTTTAAAGTTTTTATTTTTAAAAAAGTTACGTTTTTTTTATTCTTATTACTTAATTTTTAAAAAAATATTTTTTAGATTTTTTTTTATTTTAATAGGTTCAAATAAGTCCTGTTTTAGAATAAATTAGGTTAGGGGTATTGAAGGTAGAAAATTAGTGTTTACTCCTATTGAAGAAAGTTTTGTGTTTAACTCCTATTTGTGTAATTATGTTTATGTTTACTCCTATATTGGACAATTTCTCTATTTTCTAATGAGTGAACTAAGTTCCTTTATGAACTAAGTTTCTTTTTTTTTTGGGAAATGATTTATAATGAATAATTAAAATTTGGACAAGTTACACAAAAACAAAGAATTTTCTGTTGATCACCATCTCTCGAATCAAACTTGAAATCAAACACCGGCCTACATCGAAGTAATATGACTTTTTCATCCTAAAATTGACATAACTGAGGCAAAGATAATCGAAACTGACTTCCCATCATTCACCTTAAAATGTAAAGGGCGTACTACTAGTAGCAAACAAAAATACAACCAAAAAAAACATTTGGTTCATAATGAAAAGCTAAATTTAAAACATAAACATATAAACATTTAGATGAAGATGCTTCCCCATAACAACAAGAAGCTTGAACTTGTACATTGAATGAAACGATTTCTTCATAGAAGCCCGAACGGTGGCATCGACACTATGGTTTGGAAGATGACAAGTATCAAAAAGATCAAAAAAGCATAAAACAAGCAAAGGAAAGACTTGCAAGAACAGAAAAAATGGAATCTTTGTATTCTTGGAAACTAGTGTCCGGAATATACAGATGGCGAAAAATAATGGATACAAAAGAAACCTATGCTTGGTTGGCCTGGGAAGAATCTGGTTTGGAGCTGGACCCTCCACCACCTATTGGCTCATTAGCACGTTCAACATGTTCTTCCATAACCCGTTCGAAACTATTGATAAAACACTTGGAGAAGCTTAGGGCTTCAGGATCGAACGGCTTTGCGAAAAAGTTGGCGTTGTAACCAGCACCCGCCTCCACCACGTTTTTTTGGCTCATCCAATGCCATTTCTTTAGCTTGATCTCCTTGATTCTCCCACATTTGCCTCCTCGTCAGTACCCCTACCCGTCCAACTGTCGTTGTGCCGTTCACGAACATCTACCCTTTTTCATCTCTTCTTGCTAACCAGCCGTCAGCATCCACAATTAACTCCATCACAGTCGGAGCGGCAGACCAAGGTTGCACGTTCCAGGAGCAATACAAACTCTCAGCCACAACTCATTCATCCGTCAACGTTTACTCCCCCGTCGCGGCTGCAACCTTAAGTGTTAAACTATTTAAAGTTAACAAAAATTGTCGCTCCAACCCCATATTAATTGGGCCGGTGGAAAATCCCAACCCCTACTAGAGGCAACCAGGTCAAGAGGAGTTACAAAAGATAATAAAATGAACTAAGATCCTTTTATGGATAATATGGTCAATTATTTCATTATGTTTTATTTGTGGTAGATAACATTGATTTGTAAGCTTTAATTAATAGTTAAAATGAATAAAATTATTCCAGATCTGATCATTTTATTATTGAACAAAGAAACTTAAGTACTCCTGGGACGAAATTATCCTTTTACGGAGTATTATGCTTCATCCGGCTAGAAACTTTATGTTTAGAAAAGGATGTTGCATCTCAGGGTCAAAACAAGCCTAGGGCTTTTCTCAATGCCTGGGACGAAATTTTCATGGACTTTTCTATTATGTACTAATTATAAAGTCATAATAAAGAAAAGAATACTTTATAATGAGACTATTAGTTATATAGTTAAATAAAAAGAGCAATAAAATTATCCAGTACATAGACACACAAACATAAAGTATATATAGTCAATTTATGAAAATTAGCTATGCATTACTCCGTATAATATATTACATGGAATATAATATTGACATGGAGTAAACAATTAATCCGATACAAATTTTATAATTCTTAATTTATAATTCTTAATATTTACTCTGTATGACATTGACTATTACGGAGAAAACATTTAATTTGCTATCAATTTAATAATTCCCATTTAAATTAGAAAAAAGTATAATATTTAAATTGTGTAATGAAGTTAATATACTCCCTTCATCCCAGAAACAAGTTCTCACTTTCCTTCTTGGATGTCCCAAAATAAACTTCTCACATTCTTATTTAGCAAATTATCTATATCAAAATAGTGCAAAACAGTGTTAAACAATATCAAAATAGTGTCAAAACAATAAAATTTACCCCTCAGTAAATTTATTTCCTAAAAATGTGTGAATGTCAACTCGGGAACTTGTTTTCGGGATGGAGAGAGTATATTAATACAAATTTTACAATGCTATTAATATTATTAATTTTATTTATGAATTAAGGTAGAGTATAATACTCCCTCCATTCCATTAGAATGTTATCACTTTCCTTTTTCGGACGTCTCATATAAAGCTTCCCATTTCCATTTTAGGAAACAATTAACAATCAAGGTTGTTAAAATCTAGATTTAAATCGTAAAATCGTACGATTTTACGATTCTACATTAGTATATCGATTCAAATCGCAGGTAAAATCGTAAAATCTTAAAATCGTACAAAATCGTAAAAAATCGTACAAAAAACGTATAGAATCGTTTAAAATCGTAGCAAAATCGTAATAAGTTTTTTTTAGTGAAAATCGTTCAAAGTTATTAAAATTAACTACTACTAATTGATACATAATTACAATAATAATAATATCAATAGTATATTTAAAAAAGTAATGGATTCGTGTGTTATTTAACTATTTTTATTTTTTACGTATGTTTAATGTTATTATTCACTACATTTACATTATTAAAATAGTTTATAAGTCATGTTTTGGACCTTGTAGGTATAGTTTTATGTAATGAAATGATATAATACCATTAACTTGCAGCTTAATATTAATATTTATTTATTTTATAATTATTAAGATATGTTTGATAAAATCTTACGATCTGCGATTCGATTTTACGATTCAATTTTCAAAAACATCTACCGATTTGATTCAAAAATACGATTTTAACAACCTTGTTAACAATCTTAAGTGACAAATTAATCATTAAATATTAAAAATAATATATTTATAACATCACGGTTATCAATACTAACTACATCATAATATACCTATTAAAATTATTTCTCATAATATACCCGAATTACTTTATTTAATTATTGCCTAAATAACCGTGTCGTTTTGCTATGGGAACCTTACAACGGGACGGGGGTAGTATTTATTTTGTATTACTATCAATTTAAGAATATTAATACGCAATTTTGACAATTAACATTGACTATTACAAAAATTACTGAGTATAAAGAGTTATTCCATATTTTTTTGAAATTTTTATCCAGTACAAATTTTATAATTTTTTATATAAGAAATTTGGTTAATGCAACAACAAATAAAATAAAATCAAAGTAAAATGTGTGAATACTATAAAGTTCAATAAAATACGTTAATAATAAAAGTTGTGTGATGAAACATATGAAATTAAAAGAGGGGTGCAATTCTATAGGCCAAGGTTATATTATTTATTTCAATGTTTAAAATGTTAATTGTATATAACTTTGAGTTATTTATCTCTCACCCTCCAAAGTTTGAGGTATTTAAGTTATCTTTCCCATTATAAATATGCAATATATTCTAGTTTGATAATAAATAATTACAAAATATGACAGTTTAAACACAACAAATTTTATCAAAATACATTAAACAACTTCACAATATGAAAGCTTTATACGGATGAACCATCGGAATGCTTAATTTGCCCCCTGAACTAAAAATAGTTCAATTAACACCCTAAATTGAATATAAAAAAACGAATTTCACCCTAAATTGACCCATGTGAACCATCAGAATGCTTAATTTGCCCCTTGAACAAAAAAAGTTCAATTGACACCCTAAATTGGATATAAAAAAATCGAATTTCACTTTTTTTACAGATAACGGTGCAGTCACTTTCATGCCACCCAGTAAGATGCCAATTTTGCATCTAAGTAGCAATTTAAGTAGACAAATAAATTACCCGCACGGGTAGCTCAGTTGGTCGAGTGGTGGGAAAAATTGGACGTA